AGAATTTCCAATATTTGCATTAACTTTAACCAAAAAATTTCTTCCAACAATCATCGGTTCCAGCTCCAAGTGCTTCTTGTTTGAAGGGATAATTGCCCTCCCACGTGCAACCTCTGACCTCACAAACTCCGGATCAAGCTTTTCACGAGCAGCACAGTACAGCATTTCCTCGGTTATAATTCCCTGCTTCGCATAATACATCTGAGTGTACCTTGGTGTACCTAGCTTCTCCCGCCTGTCAACCCATTCTTTACGAAGCTTAGGAAGTCCTGAAGATACAACATCATTCATTTACACTAGCTGATTGAGTTGATGATAAAGGTCAATCTTGCTTGCCCAGGAAAACTACCATGACAAGACACACACACACACACAAAAAAAGAAGAAGAAGCTGGCACTAGAAAACAACATAACCCAAGCAACAGTAGATTAAAACCAGTCTAAATGAGAGGGAGCAAAAGGGGGGCCAGAGCCAAGTTTAAATGAAGTTCAAAATCCCCCTTCTAAATTGAGACTTTTCAAGTAAGTTCTGATGTAATTAATGGCCACCCCAAAATAAAAATGTAACATTTTGGCCCTCCCAAACAGCAGATTCTGGATTCTTCCGCTGTCTAAAGTCCAAATTTGTTAAGTGCCAAAAAAATTCAGTAAATTAGTAGTAAAGGTAAGGAAGGTGATTAACAGAAACTTGAAAGATAGACAAGACAAGCTGCATAAGCTGCATACCTACGCGGGGACTGATGTTTTGAGGACCACTGGTATCGTAGTTATCAAAACCTGGTTCATCGCCGGACAAATGGACTCGCCGGAACGGAACTTTTAGTAAATGACCGGATTCTTCATGTTTAACTTCCCTGAAATCAAACCAAATAAGAAGTGACAAAAGCCAGTTCGGATGACCAACGACACGTCGTCTAAGCAAAAGACCATATCTTTAAGTAGTAGATTGTGAAAAAATTACCTGTATTCTTTGGTGCTCTTTGGAAAACACTGTTCAAAAGAAGGAAGAGGAAGAAAGTCAGGAGAAGAAGGATCGACTGTGTGCTTCTTTCGGTTAGTTGTTGTTGGTGGATCAAATGTGAGAGTAGCTCTGGCTCCTGACGCTATAGAGTGAGCGCAAAACTCCTTCTTGCATGCAGCACTTGAATTAACAAATCCAAGTGGCAAGCAGGCAATGGTATTGCCATTCTTGGTTACAGCTGAGGATGTCAAGATAGCAGTGGCTTGGACAGACGCCATTTCTAGGCAGAACTCGAGATAACAAATTCAGCAGAGAAATCGAAATCTGAAATTGCAAGAAAGAGAGAGAAGCTGAACCTGATGGAAAATGAGGGCTTATCTCTTTCGTATCAGCGAGCGAGCGGTTGAAAGAGAGACAGAGAGAGAACCGATAAAAAGAGAGAGCTGGCACGTTGATTTGGGCTTCTTTTATAGGGAGGAGGGGATTGATGCGGTTAGGAGGTAACTAAGGAGGTGAAAAGGTCGCTTACGTGGATTTTGAATATCTATTACGTGGCGTTCTCCTCCCTCCCTGTTCTGCAGTAACTGAATCTCCGTCACCTTCTCGCCCCCGTTTTGGGAGTGCGCAAAAATAGAGTTTATATATATATATATATTCACTGATGACAGCTGTCTATATGATTTAAAAAAAATTCAAAGTTTTATGCTTGAAATCATTTTACCCAGTGATTTTTTTTTCTTTAAAAGGCTTTTTGTTGCAGACTCCCTATTACTTTCTAGGCCTCCTTTGTTTCTTAAAAAATATTTTTAAAAAAGTTAATTTTTTTGAAAAATAAATTATTTTTAATATTTATTAATATTATAAAAAATACTTTTTAATATTTAATTATGTTATAAATAATAACTTAAAAAATAATTTATTAATATTTTTGTGAAGTTTATTAAAATAATAAGTAATAAATTTTACAAATTAAAAATTTAAATGAAAATGAAATTTTAAAAAATTTAATTTTATAAATTATTTTAAATAAAATAAATAATAATTACAATTATAGAGATCAAATCTAATAGATAAAAAATTAAAAAAAATAATAATAATTAAAATTTTATAAATTATGTCAAATAAATTAAATAACAAACAAAAGAATAAGGATTATATTTTAATATAATTAATAAATAATATAATTTTTTATTTTTTTTATAATTTTTAAAAAATATTTGAAGTTCAAAATAAAAAAATATTTTTTTAAAAACTAAACTAATTTTTTTAATTAAAAAATATTTTTTATTGGTTAAATTTTCTAACAAACATAAAAAATATTTAAAAAATACTTTTTACAAAAGTACTTTCCGTATTGAATCTTCACCTACTCTTAGAACTCTCAATGTGTTTTTTTATTATGGGAAAAAGTAAGGAGTGACGTTATGGCAACCATTAAATATTATCTAAGTGTATTTTATAGGACTCATTATTGTTGATTCGTTTTAAAAAGAAGTTAAAATAAAAAATTTAAATAAAAATTAAATAATTTCTCCTTTGTATGATATTATTTTTAAGTATTTACAATAAATTATATATAAAAAAGAAACACAGTGATTGATTAGAAATATAAAATGACTCTTAACAAGTACATTAAAAACATCCATTACACAAACCCTTTCATCATTTATTGAAATTATTTTTTTATTATTTTAATCTTAATTTCATATTATTTAATGTTGATGTGAAGCAAATGTCATATTTTGGTAAATAAGTTTAGAAACAAGCTATTTAAAGAAATTCTCAATTTTATTACAGATTTTTTTTATCCGTAGTTTCTTTTTCAGTACAAAATACAAAGACAAACAAGGTATTTTTTTCTTCCTTATCATCTTACTCCATTTATGCCACTTTCCTATTTAAGGTGGCATTTAATATGGGGATTATAAGATATCCTTCTAAGATATGATTACTGGAAATATAATTTTTAAGTTTAGTTGAAAAAGAAAATTCCCAATAATATACCTTCAAGAAATTTAAACAAATCCATTATTTTATACCTAAAGCTTGAAGTATCTAATTTTACAATTAAAAAAAAAATCACGCCCACAAGCACACGCATATTATATCAATTGTAATTACCAAATAAAATAATTTATTTATTTACAGATCACATAACATGCAATTTCTTAAAAGATTACCGGAAGATTCAATTGCACCGTATACTACACCATTTAATTAATCCATGGTATCACTGCTAGGTGCATGAAAATCATTTTAGTCATTGAATTTTTTATTTTTCATATTTAATCCCTGTAGATTTAAGAGTTTACTTTTCAGTCCCGAAACTTTATTTTTCTTTGTCTTTTAATCCTTAGGCTGAATATTAGAGAAATTTACCTTTGTTGTAATGTATCATAAACATCTTGGATCTGGTACAAACACTCACAGTAAGGGGCATCTCCTCAATAGAGAGTTAAAGCAGCATCCTCATTGCTGCCCAAATAATCTCTCTTGTACAAGAATGTTTTCAAAACACCCTATTTAGAAGGAAAAAGAACACTCTAGATTGGCACTCCCATCAATTAATTAGATTATTATTGTTTGAATGTGAATAAAGTAGATCATAGAACAGGAAGAAAGTTACTCCTTTCGATAATGAAGGAGAGAAGAAGAAACAAATGAATGATTTTTTTTCTTTTTTAGCAATAAAAGGCTACCATTCCTTGTCATAATTTCAAGAGGCAAGGTATCGAAGCAGAAAAGCTTCTGTTTTGAAACTTGCAAGCGAGCTGCTTCAAATTCCAAAGCCTCTGTCAAGTTACAGCCAGGACGCGAAACCAAGTATTGGATTTTAGCCAATAACCATTTCATTGTACGGGGTGCTGGTCCTGTCCCGTAAAATTATCACAAGAAAGTACCACTACTCTTGGTCCGACGTTCGGAAGCATACAGCCTAAGCCAAATCTATGGCACTGGCAATTATATTCAGGCCTTGCACATGAATAGTACAGAGGCGTGGGGTCCTCAAGACTCAGGTATATTCCTGTAGGAAGAGAGGGAAGGTCAGTCATTTTTCCTGAGAGCAACGCTGATATTTTAGACTCATGAAAATATCAATGTGATGAGTCG